ACCCTAGCAAAGGAGGAAAATGCTGCCTTTATATGATTCAGCATTCATGTAAGACGCCTTTTTGGTTGCTAATGAGAAACACTAATGAGAAAGCACAACAGTTATCCTGCAAAGGAGAAACAGAATCTTAAACCAAGACATTCTTATTAAAAAGAATCAGGACAGGCGACCGCAGACAGCCCGGCAGGCAAGGGGATGAGTGAGGGTAGGAGGAGGCCGCAGCTAAAAAGAATCAAGATACAGAGAATACATTTTTTTCTTCACTCAAGTCTAGGGTCTTCACCTTGAGAAATCTTCAAAGAGCAGGTCTATATGTATTTGGACTTTTCTCCACTTCCTCATCTCCTGCCTCAACTCTGTAGTTTCTGGAACTATAAATTGACGGAGAAAATTCTTAGAAAGCAGAAACTTCTTAACTGTAATAAACAGCAGAAAAAAAAGACGATGGGGAAGTGGGTTGCCTTGCGGGATCACACCTGAGCTGAGGGGAGCCACGCGTCAGCAGGAAGAGCCCGGGGATTCGGGCAAAACAGAAACAGAAGCGCGGGCTGTCTCTGAAGTCAGGAGGTGCGCGTGTTTCAGAGCCCCCAGTTCGAGCCGCGCAGTGAGGCTCAGGGAGCCCCCAGGGTACGACACCCCCAGGGTCACTGCCCAGACGTGTCTTCTGCAAGGAGCATCTGCTGCGAAGTCACCAAAGCCACTTGGCTACTTACTGTTCCCAGTTTCCTTTCTCCAGCCGTTCAAACACAGGCAGCTCTCCTCTCCAGGGCCCCCAGAGGCCAACAGACCGAAAACCGACATGGGGGGGTGTGGGATTGTCTACAGAGAGCGGCCTGCTGCCAGCTCAGTCTGTGAGGCGCTGTTTGCCAAAGTGAGGGGACTGTCAGGCCCTCACCTCCCGTCCGGCGCCTGATTTGCTGCCAGCTCTTCATGGTGACTCTATCCATCTGACATCCACTGCCCTCTGCGACAGATGCCCTTGGGGGGAAATGCTGGCCACGCTTCTCCATTTCCAGAACCCAGACCTAGTTTAAGTCCTGCCTTATGGCTCGCAGAGAGTGTAGCTCATCGTATCTCTCGCTATTAGGGTTCTTTCATCATTGTATTGAATTCTGTTTGTGTAATTGTCTTCTAGCTAGACCATGAGATACTTGACAAGAGGCATTTATGTTAACTCCCGGCCATAGTTTAGGTGTTAATTAATGTATATCAAATGAAGGAACCCTTATTTTTATTTACACATGGAACAACATTACTTAAATGCCACAGATAAATTCAACTGCTACAAAAAAAAATAGAGTTGGACATTTGTCATATTTTCACCACCCCACCTGCCTTCACCCTTCCTTAAAAGCACCAGTTTCTTTAAAGGATGAAACTTTCCTTCATTTCATGCCATCTTCCTGAACACACCTGCCTCCCATTATGAAAGCTGGACAACGCGTGGTCACATGACTTAGCCTGCCCGGTCAGAGGTCATCTCCCAGGACCCTGACTCTTGAGCAGCTTATAGAAAGAAGAAATGGTTGGACACTATCCATGATGCAGAAATATACTGACCACGTCTGGTTCTGGGTGGCCATTGTTCCACCTCCTAGCTCTCCAGAATTCCCCAAGTTCTTGTTTATCTGCAAGCCTTTCACCACAATTCATTGAGCCCGTCCGCTGTAGCTTCTCAAAAATCACTTTTGAAAATGTTAACAAGTTAGTTTCTGATGTTTGTAGCCAAAAGCACTGATAGATATACAATGGCGAGGACCAAGCTGAGTTAGCAAACTCCATTAAAAGAGACCAAACAAGCAAAAAATAAAGTGCCCAGGATGGTCTGACAAAATACTTCACTGTTAGACATTGCATTTAGCGCTAAATGTCAGCTGAGACTTGTCTGTCCCTTGATATCTGGGAAAATTGGCTGGAGCCAGTTTTTCTCTCAATTCTTCAGCCCACAGAAGTCTCATGCTTCCTTTCAGATTTCTGAAATTTCCCAGGGGCATTTTTTACTCTTTTGCCAACCTGCAACACATGCATTCTCTCTTCCAAATCACATTCACCCAGACAGGAACGTCAGCCATCTCACCAATATGTACTCACACGTCCCTATTCACATAAAATATTTGCAGTGTAGTAAGAGGGAGCGTGGTTATATGACCTTGATCATACTGTTTAACCTGTTTGTGTCTTAGTTACCACACATCATAAAATGGGGATGATAAGGACATGTGCCTCATAAGATTGTTTTAAAAATTAAATGGGATAATCCATGTTAACTTTATAGCTCATGATGACTTGGCACATAGTAAACATTCTACACTCAGTTCCTAGTAAAGGTGAAAATTTTCACTGAAGAATGAGAGCCTGGAAGAGGTCAGCACACACATTTAACACAACAAACAAACAAAGATCTGCAGCCACACGCCCCTGGCTGCTTCTCCTTCTCCAAGCAGAGCCTGGATTCTCCTTCTTCTTGAATCCTTTCTCTTCTCCATCCTTCCCCCTCTCTTCACTCATTTTCCTGTCTGCAGAGAAAGTTAAAAGTTTCCTCTCCCGTGCCAGGGACCTGGGCCTTTCAGCTCTCACTTTATATACGCACTTCACCAAGTGCAGACATTTTCTCACCCAAACAAGAATCTCAGTTTCCTGCTCTTATAATAATAAAATTTACTCTAGCTATATACCTAGAACACTGGTTCCTGGACCCTAGCCATATGCACAGTAACCTAGTGATTTTTTTTCACATTCATTTATTAATGAATATTTTTAAGTTACATATTTTTCTTTAAACTTACTTTTAAATTTTAAATAAAAGTATTTTGAAAGGGAATTTTATTTCACTATGATAAGTGGCAAAATAGTATTACCATGATCAGAAGGCTACCTTAAAATGAGTATTTATTTTAAAATAAAAAAGATGCTCATATACCACCTAAAATCATTATGTATTACTAGTAATCCAGGCATCATTGGTAGGTGTGATCCTAAGATACATGCTTCATTGTGGACACCTAGAGGCAGAGCCAAGGAGGAAATGGACGGAAAGTCTGTGGCATTTGCATGTTGCTAATACTGCAAGTCAAGGGGAATGTGGGCGAGAAAGAGCACATGTTAATGGGATCAGGTTTAAAATCTGACAGAGAGGACTGTCCAGAGAGAGACAAGATTCTGGGGAGTGATATCATCTTACATCCCACACGATCGTTCCACAGAACCCAAGAGAATAGCTAATGTTCATTTAATTGAATTGTATTCTGCCATCAGAATCCAGGGCTGCTATAAATAAATGTTGAAAAGCCAGAAACATTAGGGATCATAATATCTGGGTTATCCAAAAAGAAGTACATTTTAGCCAACTAATACAGTTTGGTACAGTGTCTGAAACATAAAACAGTTTTATACTTTATCACTATTGATATTGCCCACTCTGGCCTTTTAATTAACAAAATAAAATTGAGATTCTCTACATCCCACTATGCTTTCTTTGTACAAATAATGTCATAAACTCCTGAAGGAAAATCAAACACACAGCGCCAGCCTAAAGTTCTGCACTGAAGTCCTAAGACTGAATAAAATCAGTGCGTTGGGTAAATAACAAAGTCCACGATGGTTGTACTGAGAGTGTAGAAACTTTTACTGCTAAATACACAAAGCGTCTTTGCATCTCTAGGTGTACTAGAACACAACCACAATTGAAATACATATAGTAACAGCAACGACTAGCTGATCAACCACTCTATTATTACACCTAGCATGTGCCAGGGACTATGCACGAGAGACAGTCACCCTTCCAGAGTCCCAGGATTTGGGGTGATCGTGTATGTTGGCAACTGGAGTCACATTATATCAGACTTCCTGTCAAGATGTTTGACAGGTCCCTTTTGTCCAGGCATTCTACTGCCTCAAGCATAGAAGCACCGTGTCCCTGATCCGTGCCTGAAACATACTTTTCTGCAGGTCTCAAGTGAAAGAAAAACTGCTCCTGTGGTCGCACCAGGAATGTACTTGTTTAGAAGGTCTTCCAGCTATTGATATGTACAGCTGATCCTCAGCTCAAATGCCAGTTCAGAATATTCAGGCCTTATTAAGGACAACTGTCCTCACACTGTTTGGTTGTGCCCAATAAAATACAGCAAGCCTCGGGAGAAACGACTTCCTGAGGAGCCATCCTATTATTTGATCTCCAAGGGGATCAGGAAATTACAGGAAAACAAGACAAAAGCCATTTAGTTTCAGGTAACTACACCATAAAACCATCATGTCACATAATCTAATGTGACCTGGTTGAAAAGAGAAGTGAGAAAAAGAGAACCTGTCATAAATAGCTGTTTGAGTATATATCTAAAGCTGAGATGTACAGATAGTCTTAGGCTATTTTTATTCCATTTAAATACATCTTGTTTCGCAGCAGTCTCACAGACTCCAAGAAGGGACTAGTGGTTACCAAAGGGGAGGAATGAAGGAGGGCAGGTGGGGAGGGAGGGAGAAGGGGATGGACAGGTATCATTATTGGCACACATGGTGTGGGGGGGATCACAGGGAAGACAGTGTAGCTCACAGAAGACAAATAGGGACTCTGTGGCATCTTACTACACTGATGGACAGTGACTGCAACAGGGCATGGCAGAGGGGACGTGATAATAAGGGTGAATGTAGTAACCACATTGTTTTTCTGGTGAAACCTTCATAAGAGTGTATATCAATGATAACTTAAAAAGAAAAAATACACCTTGTTTCCTCACATAGTTTCATATAACACCATCTCCTGCAGTGCAGACTTTTGGTATATTCATCTGGAAATATTTACAGCCATATTATAGTTATCATTTAAGCAGGAATGAAAAAAACATACTAATAACTGAACAGTACCACACTTACAATTATATGTGAAACACTAAAGAAAAGCCACATCTATTAGCTTCGTAACTCTACTACAACAGATTTTTCAGAGGCCTCATAGTTTAAATGAACATAATTTACAGCACAATAAATACAGAAATGTAACATACCTCACATTAGCATCAAGTTCATCCATTACAGGAAATAGGCATGGGTGGGTTGGAGTTCTGTGCCCACAGGGTCCTATAATGTGGGAATTAAAAAGAGGTTAGGCCAAAAGGTAATGCAGGAACATAGAAGTCTTTAGTAAAGGAAAAAATGCCAAATAATCATTGCTTCTTGTGGAGTAAGACTTACATCTTGTCTAGTATCAGAAAACTATTTAATAAACGATACCATGACAAAACACTGAAGTATGGCTCAGCCAAGTGTTACAAAGGGTCTCTGGACATTTTACTAATCTGGAAATTAAAATATGCAAGGACTTCCTTTTACTCCATGGTAACCAGTTTACTAGTGTTCGCTCTTCCCAGAAACATAGCTTATTTCTATCATCTGCTTTAGGACACTGGCCAGTGAAAATCGGTGCATAAGTTGTTAAGATTAACGTAGTCCATCGCCTAAGATGGTCAGTCAAGTTTCCTATGAGGATTTTCAGGGTTTCTTAAAACCCTTTTTGAGGGTGGGTAACCATGTATCCCTTGGAGAAGCTAATAAACTCTTGAGAATACTCCACCCAGGGAACAAAAATAGACTCCACACATTTCTGGGGAGCCCACCATTCCTTGAGGCCCATCCATGAACCCAGGCTAAGAATTCCCAATCAGAGGGGAGTCAACACTCAAGCCACCTCAAACTCCCCTAGCACAGGCCCCCAGAAGCCCCTACACCCTTCAGTGGGTGGGCACTCACTGACCGCCACCGCATCTTTCCTCTCTTAACTGACAGGTTGACTTCATTTTTCAGAATGCCTGTGTCTTCATGGCATTTGCTCCATGCATGGCGCATCAGAGTATGCAGGGCCACCGCCCATGTGCTCCTTCTGAAGTCACCCCAAGCAAGGCCCTGTTCCTTTTGACCTTCATCGTCCATTTCTCAATAAACAGAAGGGGTTGGAAGAGATGATCTCTGGATTCACTTCCAGCTCTGAGATTCTGTAATTCCATCTGCTGATCTTCTAATCGAATCTTGCCAAGAAGAAACTATAAATCTGTTTATCTATGTAACAAGACCATGAAACTCAGCCTGGGCTCCTGGATGCTCAGGCCGGGGTGGACCAAATACATCAGGCCTGACAGCCAGGGAGAGAATGGGAGCAGAACACGGAGCTGGGAAGGGCTCTGTGTCTCTCAGTGTTTGCCTTTTAGAGCCTCAAAGATCAACCAGGGCCCCTGTGGGCACGTCTGGGTCTTGGGCAGGTGTGACGCCCGACCTACAGGATTTGGGCAGGGGTGAGGCCCAGCCTGCATGGTTTGGAACCTTGATCAAACCAGCTCTGTCCATTTTTATCCTTTTGAACTTCTGAATTTGGAACAATCTTTCATTTGAAATATTTCAGTGCAGAGCCCTAACTGTTGGGGCAGCAAGGCTCTGTTCTCCTCCCCCCTCTATCTAAACTCACGCCAGAAGTGAACACGGCCTGTTCACTGTAGATTCCCAAGGCTACAGCTCTAGTCTAGGGCTTCCCCAGACTCCACTCAGATGAGCAAAGGCATTCAAAGCGGACTCTTCATTCCCACTCCCAGCACAAGAAGCCGCTCTCCCCTAGGGGTCCCAGCTCACTGACCGGCTCCACCATCGACGTGGCTACTCACATCAAACCGCCTCATTTTCTCATGCCCCGCAACCAAACCATCAGCAAATCCATTCTCTCTACTTTGAAAATGACTCCTTAGTCTGATTTCTCTCATGACCTCCGCCTCCTTCCCCTGGGAGCAGCCACACACTTCCCACTGAGGCGCTGTTGGACGCACCACCACCTCTTCTCCCCACACGACCGACCGAGACGGCCCCGCTCGCAGCAGTCTGTTCCCTCGCCCCAGGGACAAGTGGAAGTCAGCCCTGGGGTTTTTTGCTAGAAAGTCCTTCTTTCCCATGGTGTTGCTAAACCGATCTACTGGTGGCTGTCGTTGTCACCTGTCTGAGATGATCCCGACCCAAACGGGCGCAGACCTGCGTAAGAACGGCAGTGTCCTGACGGTGTGAGTTGAGGCTTAAGACCCAGGAGTGTCTTAAGACAGTTTTAAACTTAAACTTCCCAATTACATGAGCCAACAAATTCCTTTTTTTCCCTCTGTAAACCAGTCTGAGTTGGGCTCCAGCCATTGCTTGCCACCAAAAGAATCCTGAGTGATATAAAGGAAAATCAGTATATTGTATTTGTACACAGATTAGAAGGAAGAAATACTGACACAAAGAAAACCAGTTAAAAGCAGCTAAAGTTCACAGCATAGAAACTGCCTTTGTATTTGAAATGCTACCACGGGGAAAACCTTGTGTACTCATAGCAATATACATTGTTACGTTTGACTCAACAGACCTCAGTGAGCAAATTTAAAGTGACTGCCATTTAACAAGCCAGGGAAACAGCATGCATTCTGTCGGAGAGAAAGGAACAGTAGAACAGAGAAGTCAGTGATTAGTTCCTATCCTCATTTGATTAATGGACCCCAGGGCACTACTTCTGCCCTGTTCACCAGGGATAACTAATCAGAGCCGTGGTTACAGGAACACCGCTTGTTGGGACGATTACAGGGATGGAGAGAGGTGTGCAGGAATCTTTTGTCTTAAATACTTACATTTCTGGCTCCTGAACAGAGCACAGCCTAGTGAATCAAAAACACCGTCAACGGAGAACATCTCTCTCAATGCTCAGGTATAAGCTTTGTCACTTCTAAAAGTTCTGTCAATGTGAAATTCAGACTGTGTGTGCGTGTGTGTGAGAATGACAGTCATGCTGTATCCTTGTCTAAGGGACAAGGAGTGATACCCTCCTTGCTGGTCTCCTTCAGAGAAAGTGTCCTAGATCATTATAACCACGAAAAGATGATTACAGCCAGGCACGTCCTGCTTAAAGGGTGGAGAAGGAAGCCAAACCCTTCTACCACGTGAGGTACAAATGAAGGACTCAGTATTCTCTCAGGGCCAGGACTAGCCCCAGCCACTGAAATTACTCCAAACAGTTTATTCGTCACAAAAGTAAAGCTATGGCAACTCATCACTCGTCAGAGTCCTTGGAGTTTCTTCTTGGATACATTGAAATTGATCTTTCCTTAAAAAGGAGGAGGAGGGGTGAGAGATCATCTTATTTCTGCCACCCACAGCTGATTCTGGCTTAGAGATTTTAACAAACCCCTAAAATAAGCACACCGCATCTTTACCCTTGTTCTTTTCAGAATACTCTGAAGGATTGCTGGGGAGCAGTTGTTAATGGTTAACAGAAGGCGCGTAGCTGCATCTCTATTACGAGAAGTGTGAGCCAAGCCTCACCTGTAAGCGTCCACGCCTACCAGTGTGCAGGAGCCATGCAGCTCGGCCCAGCGCCAGCATCTGCCCGCCTGGAGCCGTGTCACGACCTCGGCTCACTTTGCCGCACGTCGGCTTCTTCCTCCCTGTAGTTTTGGCTGCATGAGTGAATATTCATGCATGACTGTGCACGGATTGACCACATTTCTTTATAGAGTATGCCTCCCTGGGTTAAATCTCTGCATCAGAGGGCATATTCCAATGCCTTTATTTTGGACAAGTGTCAGGAATAAGTAAAAACATGATTTATCTGAACAGCCAAATCGAGGGTGGGAACTTGACATAATGGAAGAAGGGCTGGACCCAGAACCCCCTGGGCCTGGGGTCTCAGCCGACCCTGCTGCCAATTCACTCTTTCCACTCTTAACAAGACTATTCACCAATCTTGGACTCACTTTCCCCAACTACGGAATGGGCTTTTGAAGAGCTGAGTTTCTTGTGACTGGAGGCATCTACACAGCATGTACTAAGATAACAAAATTCAACCAAGTAAGTCTGAAGATCTAATTGGCTTTATGAAGTGATTCATAAATCAGGCAGCATCTCTTGTAGCAAGTGGAGAGACGCTCCAAGGAGTTATACAAAACGGAAGGTTTTGATAGACAGGAGGGTGGGGCGAGAGGTCACCAGCAGAAGGAAAAGGATGGTTTCAGGCCAGGTCCCTCTCCGTCAGGAGGAAGGACAGCAGGTCGTATCAGGCAGATGACCGCATCTTCTGCCGGGGCTACAGGGAGGGCTCGTGCGATGGATGACCTCATCGGTCCTGACCAGATAATTCCTGACTGAGCAGTTAAGACTGTATTTCTGGGGGTGGTCGAAGAACTAGGCTAGGCATAGACCCCAGTTTGGCAACCTGGCCCAACACTCCCTCTGGGGCCGATGGTTTTCCTTTTTCACATGAGTAACTATTTAAGGATGTCTAAATGAGAACTGTGATTTCGTTATCAGGGCTAAGACTGTAAGATTGTGATAGCCCATGTTAGTTTGGCCTCTCATAACCACAGCAAAAGTCAAGGTGTTTTGTATCATTTTCCAGTTTTGAAGAATGCTCACTCAATCAACATGTGCTGTCTCACACAGGCTCCGTATCCTGAGAACGGTCACAGGCTTTTCTGAGCGAGTGGGACGAAAAGCAGAGCCATGAAACACAAAATCAGATAAGGCAAATAAGGTATTTGATAAATTATCTGTCAAATGCTTGCTATTGGCCTCATCACCCCACTGTCCTAATCCACTACTGGCCCAATGTACCAAAAGCATACAATCTCATTAGAATCAAACATACAAACAGGCCCCCAAACAGCCTTCTCCATCCCCTGGTGATCATGATTCCCTAGCGACCTTTACTGTGAAAAAAAATTCTGGCATCATTTGAAAAATTGCAACTGTGAATATTCTAAGTAAAAGAAAAAAATTTGTCTCCTCAACTATTTGCTTGGACTCTGTTTTCTGGAAAATATTTGGAATTTGTAGGATACTGGCTGAGCACATTTTTCTGTTACCTCAATCGGTTGATACATACTCTTTAAAAGAATTTCTCTCTGTAAATTAGTCCTGAAAAAAAAAATCATATTATTTGTTTACCTAGACATCTAAATAGTATGTACAAGTGAAAATGTGTATCAGCCATTAAGAAAAAGAAAGAAAGGAAGAAAAAGCCTGTGTTCCAGGAGCCAGACCTCATTTGCAAGTGTCTTTCTAGGTCTGGTAGGACAGAT